TTGGTCCTTTACTAAAAGGAGGGGGGAGGGGAAATGGCTGCAGTCAGTGCTGAAAGCAAAAAAAAAATCATAATTGTATTATGTCTGAGTCAAACCTCATTAGTCCCTACCCCAGGGCACTAACTTGTTTGTACAACCCTTAGTGTTAGAGCCCAACCCATTAGTAGTCGTGGCTACTACTGCAATATAAATGCTTAACCAGAATAAGTGTGTAAATTCTACTAACAAGGGACCACTCTGAAATCTACTTGACTTCTGTTAGAATATTTGCCAATTGCCCACATCTAATAAACTAAACCTGACAACTAAGTGGTAGGTATAAGTGATGGTGAATTTTTAAAATAAGATTTGCATTTTACCTAAAAATAAACTCTTGTGCAGTGGTTCTCAACCTGGGGCCCAGTCAGCACACAGCTATGGCTCCTGTAGCATCCTCAGGGCCATACAGATGGTTGGTTTTGTGTTTACAGTAACTCCTTGCTTAACATTGTAGTTATGTTCCTGAAAAATGCCACTTCAAGTAAAACAAGTGAATCTAATTTCCCTGTAAGAATTAATGTAAATGGGGGGTGTGTGTGGGTGTGTCCCAGGAAATTTTTTGCCAGACAAGGCTATATTTTATACACCTCTACCCCAATATAACGCTGTCCTCAGGAGCCAAAAAAATCTTACCGTGTTATAGGTGAAACCGCGTCATATCGAACTTGCTTTGATCTGCTGGAGCATGCAGCCCTGCCCCCCCCCAGAGTGCTGCTTCACTGGGTTATATCCAAATTCGTATTATATCAGGGTAGAGGTGTGTATATACAGTAAGTATTAAACAATTTAATACTGTACACAGCAATGATTGTGAAGCTTGATTGAGGTGGTGAAATAAGAGGGTGGGATATTTCTCAGGGAATGCCTTACTGTTAAATGATCCAGCACTCAGCTGAGCTCTCAAGGGTTAATACAAGGGTTAATGTAGCCTAACACTCTACAAGGTAGCACAAATGGAGGGAGGGGAGACAGATGCAGGGTGTGGGGTGTGTGAGATGTGCATTGCCCCTTAATTACACTGACCCTACTCTAAGAGCATTGCCTTTTAAAGTAGATCAGCAAGGTGAGACAGCAGCTGCTGCCAGCAAGCTCCCTCTGTCATGTTCCCCCTGATCTGTGGAGATGTGGGGGAGGGGAGGGAGGGTAGGAGTGGGAAGCAAGAGGACACCCTGACATTAGCACCCCCTTGCACAGCAAGTAGGAGGCTCACAGGAGCAGCTCCAAGGCAGAGGGCTGGAGCAGCACTTGGACAGCTAAACTGCCTGGCAATTGATAGCTGGCTGGGCAGCTGCTGCACAGGGGACTGGGAGCTGATTGGGGGGAGGAGGGGGGGGACAGCCAGTCCACCTTGGTTCCAAGCCCCCACCAGCTAGGTCCAATGAGCTGCTGTCAGGGTTCCCTCTCCACTCTGAACTCTAGGGTACAGATGTGGGGACCCACATGAAAGACCCCCTAAGCTTATTTCTACCAGCTTAGGTTAAAAACTTGCCCAAGGCACAAATTCTTTCCTTACCCTTAGTATCGCTGCCACCACCAAGTGATTTAAACATTCAGGGAGGGCCACTTGGAGCCCCACCTCCCCCAAAATATCCCCCCAAGTCCCTACACC